TCGATCTCCCTCCCACCCCTACTGTGGGGCCAGGCCATTTAATGTTTTATACATTAAGAGAAGGATCTTATACTCTACACAAAATTTAACAGGTAGCCAATGTAATGACGACAGGATTGGGGATATATGGTCAAAACTTTTGGTCCTTGAATGGACTCTAGCAGCTCTTTCAACTTAACCCAACTTGTTAACTTTGCCACTCTAATGACCTTGAATGACCTCTGTCTGGTGCATTTCTTCGTCCATCAATTTGGTCATCGAATGATGAGCTCACTCCTCAAAACTGGCTTCAACAGGTTTTTACCAGCCTTCTGTACCTTTCAAGGTCAGCTTGCCCCTCTCTTCACTGGGTCAGTAGGTACACACAGGTCTCTCTGTGAATCCAGTGGCTTTCCAGTGTCTAGAATCTCCTATGCAGACAGACTAAGGCCGACCCTTTGTGAAAGAATTAATATTCTATATTAGAAAATACTTCCTATTTGGTTATTGATTACAATATCTAATCTATTTGATTACCGATTAAGGGAATATTTATTCAAAATCTTCGTCATTTCCCCCCTTTTCACGGTTTATGCATTGTAGTAGTTCTTTTCCTTCTTTACATATCCTAAATACGTCTGCTACAGGGTTAGATCCTACAGTAAAGTCTATGTCAAAGGTAACATTCCCTTTATTGTTTATTTGAATAGTGGCATTTAAATTTGTCATATCTAGTAGCAAAGCTATTAACCTCATTACCTTCTTCTAGACAAAAACAAAATGGAAAATTTAATCTACCATCCTTAATCACCAGAGGTGGAGCTGTAAAAGATTTGCTCGTAGCTGTACAATTGTCGAAACCCTTGTTTCTAAAAACCTTTGGGCTTAAACTATCCAGTAAACAGAGTAAAGGCAGACTGTAACACTCTCCCAACACTTTTCTAATCACACTGTATCACATTGTTATGGATGTTGTTTTCTCATATGTGAATGATGCCGCTTCTAAGCCTTGATACAATACCTTTAGCTAACAAACTGAAAGGTGTTACTTTTTTCTTTTGTTATAACTTGGTTAGTGTGTTTCCCATAATATATCTACTTTCCTTTAATTAGTAAAATAATCTGTATTGTAGCCTCTCTGTGCAGACTGGGAGCGGTCTCTCTGTGTGTGTGTGTGTGTTCCAACTGTACTAGATTAATTGTTGTCCTTGAAGTGCTTGTGTGTGTGTTATCTCACACACATCAATCTTTTTTTTTTCCCCAAAGGGAAATCTTTAAAGTAATCTCAGCTCATCTCTTGAACTTCTAAATACATGTTGCACTAGCGTTGAGTTAGGCCATAAACTCTTATGCAAGGGGTCAGTTTCTCGTAATTTAATCTAGTGTCAAGGAGTGTACCATCCTAAAGTAGCTGCCTTTTCTCTCTCCCACAATTTTAACAAATTTATTTAACAAAGGAGTTAGATGTTTTTTAACAAAGGAGCTAGATGTTTTTTGTTCCAAATCAGTTTAATTCTCCCTTGCAAACTATGGTGATGAACACAGTTTGCGCTTCATCCCAATTAAGCCACTCGGGTCAGCTGCCATAATTTTTCACTAATCAACACTGATGATTGCCAACTCTCTCTCCCTTCTGCATCTTTGTAAGTTTTCAAGCCAAAATTGAGTTTGAACACCTTGTGTCTCCATTAAAAGTTGATTATCCATAAATAATCACTCTACTCTCTATCGAGGAACCGAGAGCTTTTTTTCATATACTTCGTCAGCCACGCTTTATTTATGTAAATTAAATCAGTCCTATCCATATCTCAATTAACTTCCATTTTCGTTTCCTTTTCTTTCCCAACAGCAATTTTACAACTTTTCATATGGTTCACACTTTCAGACAAACATTTAACATTTATCTCTTAGCGCTTTTTTCTCTATAGCATGCTTTTTTTTCCCCTCTCTCTATCTCTTTATTCCTTTTTCTCAATCTCTTTATTCCTCTGGTGCGCTTTTTCTTCATACACTGTTTTTTGTCAACCGGCGGCTGACTCCAATCACTATATCATCACAACATAAAACTACTTAATTTGTCCACCTGATTTTTTCTAACTATTACTCCTTTTTATATTTTTTCTTTTTTCATTTTCCTCCCTTCTCAGGTGGCTCACTACCTTTCTCACTGCACCTCAGTCATAAATCACTCTTAGAGCTATTTCATCATTAAGCATCAGCGACCACATAACCCAGTGAACAAAGCCTGTTCCCACATTTAAAGCAGAGCTTTTTAAACAGGTGTCTGCTTACCTTTTACTCTTAGCGCGCTTGTGGGCAGTCTCTTTTTTCACAGGGTCACGGGGTGGCGGTCCACTATCGATAACACAGCGGTCTTTCAGGTTCGTCACCTGTCCCCGTTACAGGGTCACCAATTATGTCGGGACCAAGAGCTATTCTCTTCCTTGCCCAAAGCCCCGACATATGATGTTTTTTTTAAATCTAAACTATTCTGTGCTGTGGTTTTGTTCTAATTATTGTCTTAATCACTTACAAAAACAAACAAAAATAAAATAAACAGAAATAAAAAGGGTATTCAATCAAAAATAAAAGAAAGTAGATGAAAAGACTTCAGCTGCTGAGTTCTTGTGGAAGGGAGAAAAAGCCTTCTTCTTTATTTCAGAATGGTGTTTGGATGCCTTACAGTGTCTTCTCCACAATCAGTTTTAGGACAGAGGAGGAAGAAGAAGCAGAAGAAGAATCCTAGCAAAAGCAAAAAACAACACTTACTTTGAGAAAGAAAATTTTGAACTTTTTATTATTATTATTATTATTATTATTATTAATTATTATTTCCACAACTTTACTGACACTAAATTGAAAAGTTAAATCACAACACATTTTAAACCCTCTATATACCCATTTTTAGGATTAGTTATGAGAAAAAGATCAAGAATACAAATAAACAAATTAAAGGCACAGTAAGAGAGCTGAAAGCAGGGGCATCCTTACAGCTTCAGAGATAAGAGGGCTAAGCCTGTAATGGGTGTAGGGAGGGGGGTTAGGGTTATTTGGTCAAATGGTTATTAGGTCAAAGTGGCAAACAGTAGATATCTCTTCGACGTTTGTATAAAGCACAGAGCTAATATGATTTAAACACTATATCCATCCACTTACAACAGGTGCAGATCAAGCAAAGGTACTGAAGTCAAGCAATGCTGTCTCCTTTCTCATAGATAAACTACAAGGTCTTAACTATATTATTCAAATACACAGATTATACATCAGTTCAGTCTCAGCTCATGCGTTTAGTGATTTTACTCTAAGCATTTTTATTACGTCAGGTGACAAAAGGCAGCAGTGCATTTCAGGCATCAGTGATTTTAAGGTAGCATTGAATATAAGGTAGCAGGGTATTTAAAGTAACAACATTTTTGAGGTAGCAGCATATTTAAGGTAGCAGCATAATTAACATAGCAGTGCAATTAAGGCTACAGAGAATTTAAGGTACCAGTGAATTTAAGGTAGCAGTGGATTTAAGGTACTACTGAATTAAATTCACCAATAGATTTAAGGTAGCAGCGTTTTTAAGGTTCTAGTGGATGTAAGGTGGCAGTGTATGAAACATATCACTCGATTTAAGATACGAGTCTATTGCAGGTCTCAGTGAATTTAAGGTAGCAGCGTAATAAACGTATCAGTAGATATAAAATGTACCAGAAGCAATACTGGCAGGAGCTTAAGGGAATTTAGGAACAAATTTATTTAACAAAGGAGCTAGATGTTTTTTGTTCCAAATCAGTTTAATTCTCCCTTGCAAACTATGGTGATGAACACAGTTTGCGCTTCATCCCAATTAAGCCACTCGGGTCAGCTGCCATAATTTTTCACTAATCAACACTGATGATTGCCAACTCTCTCTCCCTTCTGCATCTTTGTAAGTTTTCAAGCCAAAATTGAGTTTGAACACCTTGTGTCTCCATTAAAAGTTGATTATCCATAAATAATCACTCTACTCTCTATCGAGGAACCGAGAGCTTTTTTTCATATACTTCGTCAGCCACGCTTTATTTATGTAAATTAAATCAGGTCCTATCCATATCTCAATTAACTTCCATTTTCGTTTATTAAACTCTATCACCGTTTACATTTACACTCATCACTGATATAGCTGTTATTGTCAGTTGCTTATATTTGACCTTACTTTTAAGTTTCATCTGTTTTTTTAAGTTCTGTATTTCAATCATTTAGTAGTTTACAGTTTCCTTTTCTTTCCCAACAGCAATACAACTTTTTGTATGGCCACACTTTCAGACAAACATTTAACATTTATCTCTTAGCGCTTTTTTCTCTATAGCATGCTTTTTTTTCCCCTCTCTCTATCTCTTTATTCCTTTTTCTCAATCTCTTTATTCCTCTGGTGCGCTTTTTCTTCATACACTGTTTTTTGTCAACCGGCGGCTGACTCCAATCACTATATCATCACAACATAAAACTACTTAATTTGTCCACCTGATTTTTTCTAACTATTACTCCTTTTTATATTTTTTCTTTTTTCATTTTCCTCCCTTCTCAGGTGGCTCACTACCTTTCTCACTGCACCTCAGTCATAAATCACTCTTAGAGCTATTTCATCATTAAGCATCAGCGACCACATAACCCAGTGAACAAAGCCTGTTCCCACATTTAAAGCAGAGCTTTTTAAACAGGTGTCTGCTTACCTTTACTCTTAGCGCGCTTGTGGGCAGTCTCTTTTTTCACAGGGTCACGGGGTGGCGGTCCACTATCGATAACACAGCGGTCTTTCAGGTTCGTCACCTGTCCCCGTTACAGGGTCACCAATTATGTCGGGACCAAGAGCTATTCTCTTCCTTGCCCAAAGCCCCGACATATGATGTTTTTTTTAATCTAAACTATTCTGTGCTGTGGTTTTGTTCTAATTATTGTCTTAATCACTTACAAAAACAAACAAAAATAAAATAAACAGAAATAAAAAGGGTATTCAATCAAAAATAAAAGAAAGTAGATGAAAAGACTTCAGCTGCTGAGTTCTTGTGGAAGGGAGAAAAAGCCTTCTTCTTTATTTCAGAATGGTGTTTGGATGCCTTACAGTGTCTTCTCCACAATCAGTTTTAGGACAGAGGAGGAAGAAGAAGCAGAAGAAGAATCCTAGCAAAAGCAAAAAACAACACTTACTTTGAGAAAGAAAATTTTGAACTTTTTATTATTATTATTATTATTATTATTATTAATTATTATTTCCACAACTTTACTGACACTAAATTGAAAAGTTAAATCACAACACATTTTAAACCCTCTATATACCCATTTTTAGGATTAGTTATGAGAAAAAGATCAAGAATACAAATAAACAAATTAAAGGCACAGTAAGAGAGCTGAAAGCAGGGGCATCCTTACAGCTTCAGAGATAAGAGGGCTAAGCCTGTAATGGGTGTAGGGAGGGGGGTTAGGGTTATTTGGTCAAATGGTTATTAGGTCAAAGTGGCAAACAGTAGATATCTCTTCGACGTTTGTATAAAGCACAGAGCTAATATGATTTAAACACTATATCCATCCACTTACAACAGGTGCAGATCAAGCAAAGGTACTGAAGTCAAGCAATGCTGTCTCCTTTCTCATAGATAAACTACAAGGTCTTAACTATATTATTCAAATACACAGATTATACATCAGTTCAGTCTCAGCTCATGCGTTTAGTGATTTTACTCTAAGCATTTTTATTACGTCAGGTGACAAAAGGCAGCAGTGCATTTCAGGCATCAGTGATTTTAAGGTAGCATTGAATATAAGGTAGCAGGGTATTTAAAGTAACAACATTTTTGAGGTAGCAGCATATTTAAGGTAGCAGCATAATTAACATAGCAGTGCAATTAAGGCTACAGAGAATTTAAGGTACCAGTGAATTTAAGGTAGCAGTGGATTTAAGGTACTACTGAATTAAATTCACCAATAGATTTAAGGTAGCAGCGTTTTTAAGGTTCTAGTGGATGTAAGGTGGCAGTGTATGAAACATATCACTCGATTTAAGATACGAGTCTATTGCAGGTCTCAGTGAATTTAAGGTAGCAGCGTAATAAAACGTATCAGTAGATATAAAATGTACCAGAAGCAATACTGGCAGGAGCTTAAGGGAATTTAGGAACAAATTTATTTAACAAAGGAGCTAGATGTTTTTTGTTCCAAATCAGTTTAATTCTCCCTTGCAAACTATGGTGATGAACACAGTTTGCGCTTCATCCCAATTAAGCCACTCGGGTCAGCTGCCATAATTTTTCACTAATCAACACTGATGATTGCCAACTCTCTCTCCCTTCTGCATCTTTGTAAGTTTTCAAGCCAAAATTGAGTTTGAACACCTTGTGTCTCCATTAAAAGTTGATTATCCATAAATAATCACTCTACTCTCTATCGAGGAACCGAGAGCTTTTTTTCATATACTTCGTCAGCCACGCTTTATTTATGTAAATTAAATCAGGTCCTATCCATATCTCAATTAACTTCCATTTTCGTTTATTAAACTCTATCACCGTTTACATTTACACTCATCACTGATATAGCTGTTATTGTCAGTTGCTTATATTTGACCTTACTTTTAAGTTTCATCTGTTTTTTTAAGTTCTGTATTTCAATCATTTAGTAGTTTACAGTTTCCTTTTCTTTCCCAACAGCAATTTTTTTTTTTTTTTTACAACTTTTTGTATGGCCACACTTTCAGACAAACATTTAACATTTATCTCTTAGCGCTTTTTTCTCTATAGCATGCTTTTTTTTCCCCTCTCTCTATCTCTTTATTCCTTTTTCTCAATCTCTTTATTCCTCTGGTGCGCTTTTTCTTCATACACTGTTTTTTGTCAACCGGCGGCTGACTCCAATCACTATATCATCACAACATAAAACTACTTAATTTGTCCACCTGATTTTTTCTAACTATTACTCCTTTTTATATTTTTTCTTTTTTCATTTTCCTCCCTTCTCAGGTGGCTCACTACCTTTCTCACTGCACCTCAGTCATAAATCACTCTTAGAGCTATTTCATCATTAAGCATCAGCGACCACATAACCCAGTGAACAAAGCCTGTTCCCACATTTAAAGCAGAGCTTTTTAAACAGGTGTCTGCTTACCTTTTACTCTTAGCGCGCTTGTGGGCAGTCTCTTTTTTCACAGGGTCACGGGGTGGCGGTCCACTATCGATAACACAGCGGTCTTTCAGGTTCGTCACCTGTCCCCGTTACAGGGTCACCAATTATGTCGGGACCAAGAGCTATTCTCTTCCTTGCCCAAAGCCCCGACATATGATGTTTTTTTTAAATCTAAACTATTCTGTGCTGTGGTTTTGTTCTAATTATTGTCTTAATCACTTACAAAAACAAACAAAAATAAAATAAACAGAAATAAAAAGGGTATTCAATCAAAAATAAAAGAAAGTAGATGAAAAGACTTCAGCTGCTGAGTTCTTGTGGAAGGGAGAAAAAGCCTTCTTCTTTATTTCAGAATGGTGTTTGGATGCCTTACAGTGTCTTCTCCACAATCAGTTTTAGGACAGAGGAGGAAGAAGAAGCAGAAGAAGAATCCTAGCAAAAGCAAAAAACAACACTTACTTTGAGAAAGAAAATTTTGAACTTTTTATTATTATTATTATTATTATTATTAATTATTATTTCCACAACTTTACTGACACTAAATTGAAAAGTTAAATCACAACACATTTTAAACCCTCTATATACCCATTTTTAGGATTAGTTATGAGAAAAAGATCAAGAATACAAATAAATAAACAAATTAAAGGCACAGTAAGAGAGCTGAAAGCAGGGGCATCCTTACAGCTTCAGAGATAAGAGGGCTAAGCCTGTAATGGGTGTAGGGAGGGGGGTTAGGGTTATTTGGTCAAATGGTTATTAGGTCAAAGTGGCAAACAGTAGCTATCTCTTCGATGTTTGTATAAAGCACAGAGCTAATATGATTTAAACACTATATCCATCCACTTACAACAGGTGTAGATCAAGCAAAGGTACTGAAGTCAAGCAATGCTGTCTCCTTTCTCATAGATAAACTACAAGGTCTTAACTATATTATTCAAATACACAGATTATACATCAGTTCAGTCTCAGCTCATGCGTTTAGTGATTTTACTCTAAGCATTTTTATTACGTTAGGTGACAAAAGGCAGCAGTGCATTTCAGGCATCAATGATTTTAAGGTAGCATTGAATATAAGGTAGCAGGGTATTTAAAGTAACAACATTTTTGAGGTAGCAGCATATTTAAGGTAGCAGCATAATTAACATAGCAGTGCAATTAAGGCTACAGAGAATTTAAGGTACCAGTGAATTTAAGGTAGCAGTGGATTTAAGGTACTACTGAATTAAATTTACCAATAGATTTAAGGTAGCAGCGTTTTTAAGGTCTCAGTGAATTTAAGGTAGCAGCGTAATAAACGTATCAGTAGATATAAAAAGTACCAGAAGCAATACTGGCAGGAGCTTAAGGGAATTTAGGAACCCGTTAGTTACCTTTTCTGATGTGCTCACTCTGCCTGTTGTGATGAGGAGCAACAGCAATACCAAAATATACACCAATAGAGTAAGAATAAGAAGAACTTTACTCCTGATATGCACAGGATGGCTGACATGGCATCCTGTAAAGAAAACAGAAAGGTTGAAAATCTAGAACGACAAGCTGATAAAATCTGGGATTAAACTATGTGAAGGCTCAGTAGTAAATCTACTACTAAACAGATTTGTACTGGTTGTAGGGCATTTGCTAAAGATCATTTTAGTACTACGTCTAATGGTAAATGACATTATGGAATAATATTAGGGTTTTTAAATTAGCTTTGGACAGCTTGCTAAATCATTCGGGACTCTACAGCACTCATGTTTGTGATTAAAACACTGTGTGTAAAGATGAATATTAATGCACTTTTTTGTTGAAAAAGTTCTGGTCCTCTAGCTCCAGTGCTACTGTTAACTCATTTGAAGGGGAAGTTTGCATTTCTAAAACCTCCTCCTTATTAAACATAAAAAAAACCTGTAGCATCGACTGAAAGTTTTATGGAGGAAGCAATTATATCTAAGGGAGCTTTATAACTAAGGGAACTGGATCTAAGGGAGCTGGATCTAAGGGAGCTTTATAACTAAGGGAACTGGATCTAAGGGAGCTGGATCTAAGGGAGCTTTATAACTAAGGGAACTGGATCTAAGGGAGCTGGATCTAAGGGAGCTTTATAACTAAGGGAGCTGGATCTAAGGGAGCTGGATCTAAGGGAGCTTTATAACTAAGGGAACTGGATCTAAGGGAGCTGGATCTAAGGGAGCTTTATAACTAAGGGAGCTGGATCTAAGGGAGCTTTATAACTAAGGGAACTTTCACAGACTGTTGAAAACAGACCATTGTGCACCTGGTCAACAAGATTTGTAGATTAAATACCTTGTAGGGGATGAAGTGTTATTTCCCTGATGAAACGTTGAGAGAGTATGTCCAGACTCATTTCAACAATAACAGTCTGTGTAGTGTTGAAGCTAAAGGTCAGGTTGCTCTGTACTCTGTAGAACCCCTTAGTGTCCAGCTCTGTGGTTGTGACATTTCTCCCAACTGGATGCTTCCAAGACACAGTGGGCTCAGGAAAACCCTGAGATGACGACAGGGTAACAACTACATCGTTGCAGGTGTAGTGAACAGCCATCTGTGGGTCTTCGTAAGGAGCTGGGATTGGAGGGAAAGACTTATTAGGCATATTAAATCATTGATCGTAGTAAAGTGCATGAAGTTTACACAGTTTCTACATATCCTGAAATAATTCTTTGGCCAAATGTTGACAATTTTCCCTTTACCCCAAGAAACTAATAAACCTATTCTGATTTTCCATTCATACTTAAAGAGTGCACCAGAATGTAACTGCTGCAGCGTTTAAGATGGAATAGAAAATCTGTTGGCACAAGAATTTAACTGCTGCAACAATTAAGGTGAGACGGAAAAAGCAGTTTGAGATTAAATACAGACATTTGAAATTTGTAAAATACACTACATATGTTCAGACTTGTGACAGACATATTAGCATATATATGTTAATAGGTTAACTAGTTTACCTTATAGCAGTTTCACAGTTACTCTTTCAGCAGAGAGGCTGGCATAGAGCTGCTGCCACTGTTTTCAGTTTCTAACCACCCCCTGATTAAGTTGGCACTCGTATTCAGTCTGTGACGTATCTGGGACGTCCAGAAGGACTAAAGTGACGTTTTTTCCCCTCACAAAATTTGTCCCACCCATTGGAAATGAAAATGTGATGGTTCCCAGAAATTATTCGGCTTTCTCTGAAGGCCCTGAGTGTAAAATAATCACTATACGCTATGGGTGGGGGGAATTGATTCTTAGATGCAGCGCGATGCAGACGTGGATGATTCTGAATCGATTCACAAATGTCAAAAATTGATTTTCTAAATTTTAATTTATAACGTAATGTTGACGGAACGCAAAAGGTGGAACTTGGAAGTGCGGATGTGCGGAAGTGCAGCACCCAGACACTCTGTGGCGGCACATAACAAAAACACAACTGGATGAGTGAGAAATCCGACTGGCTCCCTCTGCATTAAAAGCCAGGTTAGATCAGGAGTCACAGCACAAATGTTAAGAAGAGCCATTTTGTCCTTTTAACAAAAATCAAACCAGTTTGGGAGCCACAACATTTATGTCTGGTATGTCTCAGTATGTGCTGATCTCCTAGTATAGGTTAAGAAATATAAACGAAAATGCAGACTTAGCTACTTTGCTCTGCTTTAAGCTTTAGTTATAGCCGCTTTCCTTACATCCCCGCCAGGAAACTTTTCTTCAAAAGTAGAAGAGTTTCTTGTAAAGCGTCTCTTAACATTGGACTGTTTTACGAGGCTGAAGTCGCTTCTCATTCTCCAGCTTCTTGTTTGAATTTTCCCGTTCCACCTTAAATTCTGCCTGAGGCGACCGGAACATAAATGCGGCACCATTTAAGGTGGACCGGGAAAATTCGAAAGAGAATCTGACTTCATCTTCGCAACTTTTTAGTGTTTGACAGTCTCTCGTTGCATATTTAACATACTAGGAAACCAACTGCGGTTCTTATAAATGCGAATAAGTCCATTCGTCTCCAAACGTTTGTCTTAAATCTCTCTCTTTGCCTTTTCATTAGATACTAGCTAGGCAAGGCTGTGTTGGTATGTGGCCTGCAGTCTGCACGCCAACCTTCAGGGTTATAGGGAGGTGAATTAGCAGCGCTTAAGACCATCTACTGTTAAAACAGCTTTAGAACCTGGACAAGGGCTATTAACTACTAAAATATTTTGGAAACGACAAACATTAGAAACCATATTACGTTTCCACCCATTTTCCGTCTGGTCGTAGTTGCTTCCAACCAGAGGACCATCGAGCAAGCGATGTCAAAGCTTCCACCCAAATCGGAAAGGGTGAAGCGAACTACAAATTCTAAGGCAACTTTTATTGCTGAGGATTTGCGTCTGTTCTCAGTCGTTGAGAACCAGGGCTTTCGCACTATGTTGGACACTTTGGAGCCGAGATACAGCGTCCAGTCTCGAAGATATTTTACTGACACAGCGACCCCCCCACTCTCTACAACGACACTAAAACCAACATTGTGGAATCACTAAATTAAACAGGTAGAAAAGCTGTAACGTGATTCATGGACACCCAATGCCACAGAATCTTATGTCAACGTAACAGCGCATTTTGTCACAGATAAGTGGCAGTCTGCGTCTCATGTGCTCCAAACAAAAGGAGTGAATGAGAGCCTTCTAGTTCACTTACCAAATCACTTCCATTTGATTTATTAATAAAAGATATTGGAAGTAAATGCACTATGGATCATTACAAATACTTTGTTTTAAAACTACCAAGTCCTCACACAGTGAGAAAATAGAAATCCTGTATAGAAAAAAAGATGCATCGAGATGCATCGATAATCGTTTTATAATCGTATCGCAGCCTCTGAATCGTAATCGAATCGAATCGTGAGGTGCCTAGAGATTCCCACCCCTACTATACGCACACTTATGGCCTGCTCACAAGTGAATTCTGTATTGCTCTTGCATGGAGCACTGTGTGTACTGATGAAGTAAGAACCCAATTTTGTTGTAACATTAAGAGATGAAAACTTATGTTTTTAAGTAGAATTAGGCTGAGCAGCTAGCTAACAGGCTAAAACATTGCTAACAGGTTCAATAACTCTTCCAGTGATATTACAGTTTTTGACTTAAAGTACTTACTACATGATTTTTTATAAAACTGCTGAATCTTAAACAGTTGCCTCCTTTCTATATAGTGTGCTACAGCTATACAACAGTTAGCTTGATGCTAAACAAGACTGGAAAGGCCCAAAAGGAAATTACCATTGTTGTAACAATGGTAATTTCATGGGCAAAGACTACTTACAAAGCGAAGGTTTTTGCATTAAATTGTGTACATGTTCTCTTTCAGAAGTCCATGGATTCCTTGACAACAACATACTCTAAAGAAACTGCATTTCGTGGTGAAACACTTTCTCAAATATTATTATTAATATATACATTCTAAAAACTGTGTACTTTATCATGCTATGTTGACCGCGGTTTTATAAAAGCAATAAGCCATGTGAAGTCGTACCTTACAGTGATTTTACCACAGATACAGGCATTTTAGGACCCCTTTACCTGTGATAAGAATCAGCTTTGTTTGCACAAAAGATATGCTACAGTCACTGTAGACCAGCAACACAGAACAACAAAGTAGGAGAGGCCAGTAAGTGCAGCTCTCCAGAAGCAGAAACCGGATAGACAATCATATGCAAAAGTTTGTGCACCCTTATCAAATAACGTTTTGTTGTTTTTCTGACTGAAAATAAGTTAACACATCTACACATTTTAATCTACAATTACTGTGTATTTGCTATATTTAACATGTAACATATTGGGGAACATAAAATGTGTTCAAAAGTTATGGCCCATTTTCAGTCAAAAAACAAAAAAAAGTGAATTCTTTTGCAGAAAAAAGCCATATTTAAGTCTGTTATTGTTTCTATCAACATTTGACTAGGGGTGTTTTGCATATGATGGTATCTGATCTGTATAAAATGAGCGGTTAATCCCTTACCTGCCACAATGAGTCGTACCCTCTTTTTGGTTTCACCTGTTTCATTGTTAACATCGCAGGTGTATTCTCCATGATGGTGTTGCTGGACATTGTTCAGCGAAAGTGATGCGTTTCCCTTCAACACCTGATCCATAAGCAAGCGTGTCCGTCCCTTGTAGATCTGTCCCTGACGCTCTAGTTGATCTCTACCTAGGTAAAAGCTGTGGACCACCGTGTCTCCATGCTGCCAGTTTATGATTAAGTTGGTAAGATTCAGACTGTTAGTTGCAGTGAATGAACAGCTGAAAATAGCACTTCCACCTGGTGGAACTACTACTGTACCTTCTTCTGGTGGTATCTGAAGAGGGTACACTGGAAGCATTAATATACCAAAGACTTGGTGATGGGAGAAGTAAAGTTAGGATGCAGGTTTATTGAAGTTATTTTTTGTTATTTTTACCATTTATTTGTTATTTTTACCATTGCCATAACACACTCACACTAGGGGCTATATGACAAAAAAAATAATGAGTGTGTTTAAATGCGCAGATAAAAAATAAACAGATTTTGTCAGTAATCTGATCAACACATTTACATGAACTTCAGTAATCAGATAATGGAAACTCTGGGTCGACATGAGTCAGGCAGTAATCTGATTTCTGCTTTACAACCAGCCAATAAACTCACAGAAGGAGACATGACATAAACGCAATGTAAAACTTCATGCCACAGCTGTTTTTTAAAACATCGCGCGACTTTACCTGAAAACATGAACATACATCATTTAGAAGATGAAGAATATTTAAACCCTTCATTTCGTGTTTGGTTTTAGCACCGCTCCAAAAGTGTTTTGCTGTGCCTTGTGGCAACGCTGCTTACTTATATCTTACACTGAGAAATAACTTATTATAACTTATTAACTTATTATAACTTATTATACTGAGAAATCCGAAAGAAATCAGAGTAAGAGTTTATATGCACTGAGAAATCTGATTACTGAGCTAAAAATCCCACTCTCTTTATGGGATTTCTTCATCGGATTGACCGTTTGAATAATCAGATAACTGCAGAAATCACAATATTGTTTTTTCTGAGGATACGTTACAGAGGATGACTGACAAAAAACTTTGTAATGCCAATTTTTTCAAAAAACTACAGTACAATACAATTTATTCAATGTTTCACATACTGCACTGCACAGTCACTTGTTTTTGCCATGCCGAGACAAACCTGAGCACAGAGATCAGGCCTAATAGGTTTAGCTAATTCACATCATTATTTTTCATATGACCACTGTATTTCCATATTATGGCCTACATATCCAGTTGGGGGACTGAAGTTTTGTTTTTTTTAGCAAATTCAAAAATTGTTTTCTTACTTTTTGAATTATCATGTTTCCCATTAAATGAGGAACTTCTGGGACAATGTGCAATTTGCGGCTGTTGGTGACCACTGCTGTGGAGAAACTTTCAGACTCTGATTTCTTTACAGTGGTGGGGATACGAACCAGGGGGCAAAACTTTACCACAAACCTATAATAAAACAATGTATTAGACGCCAGGCAGCATATATCTAACTATTACATGCAATATATCATCCACCGATATATCATACGTCCATAACTGTAACCTGTACTATTAGCTAACTTGAAACCTGAAACCAAAACATTTCAGAGGCATTAACTTCTTCAGACACCTGATTCTTATTACCACCACTACAATTCTGACCTGCGCATTTCCCATCAAACCTCTTTAAATGACTCTGCTTGTGTCTCAACCATTTGATTATGTGGAATTTCTGAAAAATTCCTTTTCAAATTGTTTTCTGTTTTCTGTCACTATTCAGGGCCCAGTCTCCCAAAAGCTACGTAGTGTTAAGATTATCTTAACTGACGTAATGATTGTTCAGTGTGATGCTCTCTGTCATTTAAGAATCATTTCTGTGCTGAGCTGCTTTCGGGAAACCCAGACCGTGCTGGTAAATTATAGCCGCCAGCGGCTGTTACAGTAAACTGACAGTGGGGGTCTAGACGGTAACGCCCACCATGAGTGACTACACTAGCTTCTGCTTCCGGGTGGCAAGTTTACTGTTGTAATTACCACCCAAAATTTCAGTATTGAGATGATAATAATCGCATATTTATTGGCAAACAATATATTACCAACCAATATATCATACATCCATGACTGTAACCTGTTCGCTTTAGCTAAGAATACTTTCTCTGAGTGGACAACACAGCACTTTTGTAAATCGTTTTACAAAGGAGGCCCAGCCTCATCTTTTACTAAGTAAGCTGAAAGAACCTAATATAAACACAGAACTCTTGACATAAGAATAAACTCTAACTTCTAGAAACTTGAACCTTGAACTGCTTTACTTTTCCTCCTAACTGAACAGAAGCACATGGTGACTCATGATTGAAACAAATCCTGTCTGTTGTATTGACGACAGACAGGAAAAAGAAACTGTGAGAGTAGTTAGTTTGGCATCTAAACTAGTGGTATCTAAAACTGACAAATATGGTAAAATTTAAGAGACAAGTAAAGCCAGAGACCACCCCTGTACTGAATTATCAACTGATCTTTCTGCATTCATTCTAGTGTTTCACTTGTTTCCTATAGACTGCTTTTGGAATTGAGTCTAAATTTTAGATATTTTCATTTCTATGCTGAAATGTGAAGCCAGAGAACCGAAGTGCAGTGAAATGAATGATTCATTTGATATTTTACAGGACATAACAGTTCCTACCAGTCAATATTATCCATGATATGTGGAGTAACATAGTATTTATATTGTACTATTATACTCACACCCTGAAGAAGAAAAGAGAGGAAGAAAAGAAAATCATTCATTGTATCATTAACAGATTTTTTTCCACTGTCAATAAAGTAGACCTTAACATTTCTGAACAATTATACCCTTAAGATGTAAACAAACTCATTCACAGCGGATTGGTGAGAAATGCTCAGTTCTAGAGAAACTTACAGAGACACAACTGTCCACAGTGGTGCTGACAGGAACCAGATGTCTGAAGAGTTTATCATCTCTAAGAAATACCTTACAGAAAGCTGTTACATGAAAACATTAATACACTGCCTGATGTTTGAGACACTGTTTTACAATAGTTTTGAGAAGGTTTTGGTCTAAAAGGTTATTTTTAATCCATTTATGTTGCAGGGTATGGAGGACCAGATTTGCCAAAATGAAAATAAATAAAAATAAAAAATAAATAAAATTAAAAATAAAAAAATAATATATGAAGTAGAATTGCAAAAAATAATGATGATAAATCTAAAAATAAATAAATATACATAACAATTACTATATTAATAATTTATGTATGTCTATTTAGTAATTTTCCCTTCTCACTAATTTTTGTATTTATATTTTTGTTATTTATATGTTTCTTTATTAACGTTTTTCCTGTTTTTCTATTATTTTATTAATTTATTTCCATAACTATTAATTTATATATTTATTTATTTCTCTATTTATTTCTGTATTTCCTTGTCCTTATGCTAATAAAGGGGCTGTCAGTCAATGATGTCACATCATTATCATATGAACAAAGAAATATAGAAATAAATTAATTAATGAACTAATAAATAAATAAATGAATTGATGAAAAATAAATAAATAAATGAATACATGAATCAAAGAATAAAGTGAACAATTGTTAAAAATATAGATATGGAAAAAATATAAAAATGGCATTAATAAAACAAAATAAATAATACAGAAATGAATAAATTGAGAAATATATAACTGCAGAAAAAGGAAATGTGTGTACTTAGGAATTACAATCACAATAAGCAATATATACTTTACTATATTTTTATTTATTGATTAATTTACTGAGCCATTTATTTTTTAATTTTATTTATTTTTCATTTTGGCTAATCTGGTCCTCCATAGCAGGGTACATACAGTGTGCTCTAAGGCAAAACAGTCCCCAAAGAATGGTAAGTCAAATATATAGTAAATGAAAATGGCTGCATGTTGTAGACATCGTGACCCCTGGTTCCCATCACCACCACTGTAAAGACATCTGTAAAGAGTCTGCAAAATTCTCTAAAACGAACTATTTTACATCAAACCACCCTGAATGAATGTTAACCTCTCGATGATTGAATTATGCAGTAATTTTAAAGAATCTATGGAATTCCTCTGATTCATTAAGGTTTTCAGAGTTACACTTAGCCTCCTACTCGTGAGGGTACAACATATAAACATATAAATCCATAACATTATGATTCTACAATACTCCAAAACATGCATACGACGGTACAAATGAACTGCCTACTTTAATCCAAAGAAACATCTCTGTAAAACATCCACACCCTAATCCACTTCACACAACGTGGTTAAGTCTAACCTACACTGATGACAGCTGACTGCCAAACTGCAGTTATTACAGCTTATTAAGTCATGTATGTACTGACACTAATAGACGATGCCGCAAGCATGTTATTACTAGTTATTAATGACCCGTAATGTGAAATGAAAATGAACTGCTAACCTCCGCTGTAGCGTGTCAAGAAGAAAGGACAGATCAAATTTCCCGGGTGTTAAAAGCCAAAGAGACTGCGCGTGACCTTGGTTCCGCGGAAGTGAAAAATAGATGAAAAAAAAAAACCCATATAAAGAATTTTAAACACCCAACCGAACGAGACAGCTAAGAGATAAATCATTACAATATAAACATTTACTCGGAGCAAAAAATGTTTGACAAACGGGCAATAACGCGAAGGTACAAAACTATGTACTTTTTCAACTTCTGAAATGAACTACATATCCCACAAAGTACTGCGAATGTCAACCAATCAGCGTCCCTCCACTCCAAACGCACGTATGCACATTCATTGGCACTGGGTCCTCTGAATTAAGAGGCGGTTCCAGCAGTCGAAATACGCACATTTCTACATCCGTGCTACAAGCTAACACGTAAGTACTGATGTTTTAGGCAAGTAAGGCTACATTTATACTTCAACACTATTATCCAACAACAAAAACAACACTGTAGGTTATTACTGCCTAGGCTACTTGACTACCACGCCTGACAAAATTTGCTGGTTTGTTAGCTTGGATGTAGCAGCAATAGTTGTATTTTGAGTACTTAACTCAGAGAATAGGGGTAAATGTACAGAGGACAAAATGTATGGATTTGACAATGTCCAATTAGAAGTGCAAAAATGTCATTGAAAACTGGGAATTTGTCCGTGAAAATGTTTGTTTTCACAAGTAAAAATTCTGTTAAAAAATCCATGAGCCCCGTTCATTTCACTTGCATCCTTCAGCACAGAGGTTCCCAACCTTGGTTCCAGAAAACCCCTGCTCTGCACATCTTAGTGTTTCCCTGCTACCAACATACCCTCTTCAAGTCAGGAAGGGCTTGTTAATGAGCTGATCAGTGGGTATTGTGTGCTGGGAGCAGGGGGAACACTTAAACACAGAGATGGATTACTGACCAGGCCAGGGGGCCAGTGCCCAAGGGGATCTGGGCTGCCATAGGCCTCAGGGAGCCTCAGACCACAAGGCCTGAGGCAGGTCAAAGATAAGGGACGGTCCACTGCACACACAAAGATGAGATGAACGAATAGTCTGTATATCTAATGACTAATTGAACATCCATACCTAAAAAAAGACTCAACACCAACATATGCAGAAATATAACTACAGGAAAAAGAAAACTAAGAATGAATCATTTTGGTTTCATTATATTTTTCTCCAGCACTAGTTAAAAAGGCTAATAACTTGGTCACGTCACACAATAAAGTGGTTTAATAAAGGACTGTGAAGTAGGAGGCGTAGAAAAGGATGAAAGGATCCTTCTGCAGGTTTAATAAAAAGTTCAGTGATCCAAAAGAACAGAGTCCAAGAACAGGCAGGGGTCAGACACAAGGTAAAACAAAACAATCAAAAGAGTACAAAAGTTCAAGTCAAAAAGTGGGCAGCTAAGGATTACTAGGAGAAAACAACTGGCACAGCCTCACAAAGGAAAGCTGTAGGAGAGGGATATTTGTAGGAGAGGTAATTACTGAAAGGGGAAACAGATGTGAGGAAGGAGTGACAGCCTCAGAATTTGAGAGATGATGACCTCTGGTGTCCAAAGTTGGGAGTGCTACTGACAAAGGGCCCATATCCAACTGTTTTTTCAACTAATATTCTTCCTTAAAGTCCACTTATGATGTGGCTTTAGGACCAAAATTTTCAAAATTCATTCATCTGTTTTGCTTAGAATTAAACTTAACAGGCTGTTTTGAAACTGTGCTTTAAGACTGCTATATGTAAATTACCTCTGTTCTAATTGGCCACCCTGTATTGGACCTCGTTCAAAAAGCAGTCCAAGCTGGAACACTCCTTTTAATTTCTGTATGAACAGGTGGGGCTAAACTGCAGAACAGTTGGATATATGCAAATGAACTTATTTTTTCTGATATGCCACAGTTTCACCATTACCATCATTACTTATAAAAACTCACAAGACGTGTAGGTTAGTCTGATTACCATCAGAGAGTCTGGTGCATTTTGTCACATGGCCAAGAACCAATGCTTTGAAAGGAAAAGGCATCTGACTAGCATGTTAAATAAGCAATTACAGGGCTTTTCTGGGGTGGGTTATGCCTAGGGGCAGGCAATTTTCAAAACAGGACAGCCAGAAAATGGTATGCAAAGGCAAATGTAAAGACATCTTGCTTAAAAGCTGCTAAATGCTTTAAAGAAAACTCTTGAATGGCTCTTCTAGATGCTGTGAACTTCATAAACGTTTATCAATCCAGCAACTATATCTTGCTCTGAAAGGCTCAATCACGGTGCGCAGAGCAGCCTGGAAAAGTTTGCCAATAAGAATGCTTTGGTAAAACTAATCCAGTTCAAATAGGGCTAAAGTGTAGGTTCACTGGTAGTTTTAGATACAAATACATGGCTATATTTGCACTGTAGGCATTACGAATCCTGGTTTCAATGGCCACCACTGTAAAAAATGAGGAGTTAAGTTTCTTTACAATGAGCCATTTTTCATCAAATCACTCTGAATGACCTTATTATTTATATGATTTATTTCATAACAGCTCAATTACAACTTTGGAAATTTTGGGATATCCTTGTAATTAAATTGCATTTCCAAGTGAAAAAAATCCTATTTATCCCATACAATTTCGTTTAGACCTTCAAAGTACTTGTTACAAATCTCAAAGGCGCAGGGCGATTGTTTTCTGACCACCACTTGACTACACCCCTTATACATAACGCTTGTGTTGGTTTACATTTGATCTGGGAAAAGCTTAGTCACGTAGTCGGATCACATTGGCAATCAGATAGTTTCCATTTCTTCACAGCAAACATCAGAAAAATTAAGACAGTAACAAGGAGTGTTACTGTCTTTTTTTGTTTGTTGCCATGGCCGTCCTATTCTGTGAAGTTAAAGGCATCGAACAGCATTATGGAAAAGAAAGCATTCGTATTGCTCAGCCTCATATTTCTTCATTCATTTTTCCTTTTTCAACTTGTTTGACTGTTTGGACACATGATGATTTTTAATATGTCGTGTCTGACCTTGTTCTCAAGTAACTGTTTTGTAGGAAGCAAAATTGTTTGCTCAAATAACATTCAAACATATGGTCACTGTATTATGTCGTGTAAAAGATGTAGTTTTACGTGCTGTACTTATCTATTGCCCAACTGATATGAAAACGTCACTAATACTGATTCCAATATTACCAACCTAAAAATTCTGTTTATTGATAACACTAGCAAAAGAAATTTTTCTTTTATTTGTATTTATTATCTTTTCATTCCTGAAACTAAAAAGATCACACTAAATGGACAAGATGTAAACAAAATCGTTCAGAGTAGTTAGACAGTAAATGCTGGACAGTAAATTTAACAAGTCAGAGTTGTTCATAGTGGTAGTGATAGGAACCAGATGTCTGAAGAGTTAAATGCTTCTAAAAGCTGCCTCACACAAAGTTATTACACAAACTATTTACAAATAAGCTCTCTGATGCTTGACACATTGTTTAGAGTAGTTTTGAGAAAAGCTTTTGCCCTAAAACGTTTTTTTATAGGCAGAGAGGTACATGTGCAGGGCACTATCAGTCAAAATAGCAAAATAGAACCCATATTTTTTCCAGATTTACTGTTTAGGTTTACTGATGGTTTTAGATAGTAAACAAAATATCTATCATCCTGTCATCATATCTATAAGCTTAACAAACATCCAGGTCAGTGAGTTTCTCTGCCGCCATTTCACATCAAAGCACTCAGAATGACTTTAAACTACCGATTTATGCAGGAGTTTAAAAAAAAAAATCAATTGAATACAGTGACTGAAATATTTCCCTGGTTTCTTTAATGTAAACGTGATTTACAAGTTTTTTTTTTTTAATTGTTCTACATTATCAAACATGTACTGTATATCTGCACTGAACGTTCTGTAAAGCCAGTTCATTTCTGAATAACTGAATAGTTGTCATGTATATAGAGCAAGAAGGCTGGATATACGTGTGAGCAGTCTTTAATAAACAAAACAAACAAGCAAAAACACAAAGTAACAAACTACAAGGTTTAAACAAAGAAACACAAAGAGCAAACAAAACACAAGGTATGGACACAACCACTACATGAGACAAAATGATGAGTAGACTAGACCATCATGGACTGAAACAAAGGGCTCAATATACCTACAAATATTAGGGAACACCTGGGAGAGGGAGGAGGCAGGGAATACAAACAGGTGAGATTCCTAATAGGGAAGGCGAGGAAAAGGGCGGAGCACATGAACCAAAACAAAACACAAGCACATGGCTAAAAAGCACATGGCTACAACACAGGGGAATAAGACAGAGGGACAGAGGAAGCCATGACAATAGTAGTTAAGGGAGAGGATTTTCATGGATTTAATTCTCACATTCACTCTGATGGGCTTCTAACAGTTATCATGGCTTTGGACAGAGCTATTTCTCATTGTCACTCTGACAGGTCTCTAACTGTAATCATCAGTTATCACTGTTAATTAATGGTTGATATATTGGTTAATTTAAATGCCTCTATCATCACTTAACACTGGTTAATCTAATACTTGTGTCAGCACTAATCACTGGTCAGTCTAAGCCTGCAATTTTTATTCACCGGTCAATTTAATACTTTTATCATCAGTTATCATTGATCAATCCAAATCTGTCATCAGTTATCACTGATCAATCCAAATCTGTCATCAGTTAACATTGATCAATCCAAATCTGTCATCGGTTATCACTGGTTAATCTCATACTTCTTTAATTCGGTTATTACTGGTTAAATTAAATACCTCTGTCACTGGTTATCATTGGTTGATCTAATGTCTCTGTCTTGTTTTTACTCAATTCACACTGTTCCTTGCTGTTACTGGTTGGTGGTTTCATCATGTAATTATTGTGTTAATATGTTCCATGAAAAATTAGCTTCTTTAAATTAAGTTATGGAAATTCTAAATTTTTTTTTCACCTGTGAGTTCACTGCTACTCCCATATTCCCCTCAGCAGGAATCCAATACAACACTGATGCTAGGTTTGCATCATTGG